GAGGCTCCTACACTGCCACCCCACCAAGCACCCAACTTCTTCCAAATTGCGCTCCCACATTCCTCCAAAAACCATCAAATATTCTTTTGTTTGTATTGTCAAGTCTTATGTTTTGGGTTTTTTTTTAAAGATTTATTTTTATTATTTATTTATACAAGCACTGGGTACAGTCAAAAGCACGGGAGGGTGAGAGAATTCACCAGAGCCAGAGCAGAGAGTAGAACAGGCAGACTGACAAAGTACACTGCTGAGGGGAGCAGCGGGCGCGGCAGGAGAGGTCTGTCACACCACGTGGGACCCTCGCCGGTGGCTGGGGATCGAACCGGCGCTGCAGAGGCTGTGGGCAGCTTCGCAGCCCAGCGCTCAACCACTGCGCCACCGGGGAGGCCCAAGTCATATGTTGTTAACTGTTGTTTTTACATTTGAACGTTCAGGGAAAACTTTATTTGAACATAAAGGAAAGTTCCCTAAAATCTGATAGTATGTAAAAAGAACACACGAATACTCTTTCTATCATAGAAACAATTCAACAATTGTTGGATGTGGTTGGAAAAGAAGAATTTGAGGAACTTGATTGGTCGATGGAGGCTAAGAGTAGACAATTTAGGATGGAGATATCACAAGACTAGAAACTGGAGATAGGGGTAGAAGGGATGAACATAGTTGTTATACCAGACGTAGAAATAAAATCCTTAGGTACCAATTGCTATAGCAAGTATCAGACAGCTAGAGAAAGTATCCGGAGGTGCAGGCCAGAGGTGGGAATATGGAGATGGCAGGCCATCATAGAGAATCACTATTCTTTACAAAATTAACCTAATCACACCCTGAAATTTAGTAATTTAACAATAGATAACAGTCCCACAGAGGAATGAACCCCTCCCCTCCCCCCCAAGAACATTCTATCCATAGTACACTTTCTACACTGGCAAATCCTAGCTCCCCTGCCTGCCTGTGACTAAGTAGGTGCCTCTCTTTTTCTTTTTCCTAACAAACCTGTCCTTTTTAAAGGTAACCTTCCCCTGCCTGTGCCTGTGCAAATCTTCACCTTCTGGGTAAACTCACTGTGTGCCTCTGCCGAAACGTTTCTCAGAGGTCAGCCAAGCACCCCACTGACGAAACCCCACATCTCTTCAAAATGACATCAGGTCCTTTAGGTAACTCAGTGGCCACCATGAAATTTGATGACCATGTAAAATATGCACTACACATGTCACATGACCTTACCTTGCTCGACATTTCCTCTTGCCGCTGAGAGTGGGGTGTGGCCGGCTGCAGCACTGCCCAAAAACCTATGTAACATGTTTGCTTCAGGGATCTATGCTCTTTACGTGTTTTTCAAAAATGTAGGTGAAGTGTGGGATGTACAATGTATGACTTCATGGCTATTGCTCCGAAATAGCATATAACAAACCACAGACCAAAGCGACTTTTCCCTAACATGTTTTCTGTCTTGATGAAATGCCCCTTGGTTATTTTTTTACATTGGTGTTCACTGGCTTTTGTTTTTGTTTTTGTTTTTTTTTTTTTTTAATCTCTGTGACAGCTGATATTCAGTGAGTAAAATGAAATTCTTTGGAGTCGTTCATTAAAGAAAAGCTTATATTTGGAACTAATTACAAAGAGTATTGTGCAAAAGACCTGAAAAATCTGAACAGAGTGGGGATGGAGTCCAGGGGTTAGAAAAAGCAGAAGTCGCCCACCATTACTGCTGGTCAAGAGACTCCAGGAAGAGGAGGTGGTACTCGGCACAGGGACTAGGGGCTTCCAGTGAGGGATGGAACCAAAAAGAAGGTACATTCATTGCTGAAGACTGCCTGAATCAGGAAGAAAAGAAAAACTATCCTAGATTCCTCCCTCATCTGAACCTCCAATCTTGTGTAATGTCTTCTACTGGCTGCTCCAGATGCCAGGAGACCAGGGTTCTGAGAAATGTAGCACACAGGACTGGATCTGAGAAAACAAGCCAATGACTACAGGAGGGAAACTACAGTGATTTTAAACAATGCTCACGCATTATTTGGCACTCCCGCTACTGAAGTCAGAGTCTAATTCTCCTCCTCTTGAAAATGGTTGGCTTTTGTGACTGACTTCTAAGGAACAGAATGTAGTCAGATGAGACCAACTGCATGAATTCATAAAAGGACACAGCTTCCACCCTGTTCTTCTCTCTCTCCCTTCCTTGCCCACCCCCCCAACCCCATCTCTGTTCATCCTCGGTACCACAGTTCTTTAAGGTATAATGCAACAGAGGGAATTTAATATAGGGAAATAATTGAACACAGTCCTTTGTAACAGATATGCAAGATTCAACAGTCAGCCATGCGGCGGTCTAGGAATCAGCAATAGCCAAGCAAAGGTGAGGAAAGGATCCATGAATGCGTGCTGGTCACAGCCCCAGTGAAGATCCAGCTGACACATGGTAATGAGGGCCAAATAAGTAAGAGATTGAACCTTTAGAAAATTCTAGCTCCAGCCTTCCAGGCATGACTGCTGATGCCATGTGGAACAGACAAACTACCCTCGAGTCCTGTCCAATTGCCAATTAAGCAAAATTAATTTTGCCATTGTTTAAGCCACTGAATGCTGTGGTGAGTTGTACAGCAATAGATAATCCAATAGAACCCAAGAACAAACAAGTCAATGACTCAAACAACTTCATTCTTATTTTCTCATTTCTGTTTCAGTTAGCATTTGAAGGTCCCAGAGTCAATCACACTCCAATTTTATAGCCATTTTAGATATTTATTGGCCAGTGTTACTGGTAGTAAACACAATTTTTCAACTCATTAATTCTGATTATACTTCCAAAGAATGAACAATTGTCCATGGAAGCTATGATTTATTCCTCCATTTAGAAGCATTTCCATATGAAGGTTTGATGGAATTGGGTTTCCTTATATGAAATACTCATTTAATTTACTATTATTCACTATCAATCTGAAATAAAGGTCTATTCATTGACTGAAATACTTAAGCTTATCTATATGAATACTCTTGGTGCATAGGAGATTAATTTGATAATTGCTTGGAGCATTTATTTTGTATGTTGCCCTTTTTATAGACATTGGAAAAGGTAGAGAGAAAGTAGATAAATAAGAATGAGAGGAACTAGGGAACAGAATGGAAAATGAGGGGGGAAAGCAGAAGGTGAAGGTGAAGGAGAAAGAAGCATTGTACTTAAGAAGAAGAATGCCAAGACAGATCTACTTTCACGAGGATTCTGGTTCAATGGCCTTTCGCACAATGGAAATGTTTTGTCAGTGGAAGAGAAAATAAACATCATGTGTACATTTTCCAATGTTTTTTGAAGCAAATAAATTCAGGGTTGTTTGCTGGAAAATACACCAGCAGGGGACCAGACTGTGCCACTAACAAACCATGTGACAGGGCACTTACAGTCTTAGAGATTAATTTCTTCACACATAAAAAATGCAGGGATGAGACCAGAATTTAACAGCATGGGCCACATTTAATTAACACTAGGCTAAGCTGTGCTTTAGTAACGAATGAAAGATGAAGTCTCAGTAGCTTGAAAGATCCAAAATTTTTATTTTGCTCACATAAAATCTAATGTGATTATTCCTGGGCTGGACTCTCCTAGTCAGCTCCTTCCCTTAGTGAAAAAGGGTCCACCACCTCCCCTCCTGAGCCATAGTAGGTTGTAGCACGAGGAGAAGGCAGGTGAGCACATCTAACACTTTGTCCACAGGTCCCAAAGTGATTCACATCACTTCTGCTCATATACCCTTAGCAGAACTAGTCACATGATACAACTGCAAAGGAGTCTGGGAAATGGAAAAGTACATGAGCGAACATTGGTGAACTCCATCAGTCTCTCCCACACATGACTACATATGTTGCGATTTCCTTGCACACCCCTCTCTTGCCGTATGTACAATTCTCAGATGTTCTCTTGGGTGTCTGAACTGCAGTTTGTGGGGTGTGTGGGAAATCATATGGCCTCAGGTGCACAAGGTATGAGAGTTTCTGCTGTATTGGTTAATCTGGCACAGCTTTGTCTAGACTTAACCAAAATGTGGTCCCCACTGGGATATTCTGGTTTACAAATCTAAGATGGAATTTAATCAGAGAAATGGAAAGTTTTTACAAACTTTTATGGCAATTTGAAAGAGAAATTTTACATCTGTTGAATTTAATAAAAACCAAATCATGGTTTATATTTTGATTTCCTTGGCTTTATTTTTTTTTTTCAATTTCATTCTTCGGGTAATTTATCTTTATTGTATTTTACGAAAGTATCAGTCTGTGACAGATTGAAAATAATAAAAACTGGTTCTTCACCACTGAGAGTTTGATAAACACTGGCTATTCTACCCTGACTAATATACCAAAGCAAAAATAGGAACATCTAGAAGTATACCAAGATATATTGAGAAGGACTAGACACCAGCTACATTTCTCCGAAGGAAGGAAACCCGGTAGGCCCTTCGCAAGTTAGATGCTTCCTACAGAGAGTAGGAAATTGTCTGAGCTACACTATTTTTAATCCTGAAATAACTGTGGACCCAGCATTTTCTTAAATTCTATTTTCTACTGTAAAGTAATACAGTGAGATAGAAAAAAGGCCAGTCAAAGAGAAAGCAAATAAAATGTCCACATGCCATTTCAGCACTTGGCTTGTAGTGGTAGGAGATGGTCACATATTCCTGAGAGCACATTTCTCAATTAAGATAGTCAAACTTCTCTTTCCTCCCCTCCCCCTACCCCAGGAAGCACCTCTCATCATCTGAATACAACAAGGACGGCAATGATTCTCTCCTGTTCATTTCCATTGTTGAACACTTCTTATATAAGAGAATTTCAACACTGAAATTTGACAAGGTTACAAGTTGTTGATTCTCAAGTTTCCTTATGATCAGACAGTAAACACTAAAAACCCCTGAGGCTTTAGCTGCCCATCCTCACTTATCCTTACAGAGATGCAGCTATAACGCTGTGGGATCTTGTGAACATTTAAAATGCCCATCTTCACCTACCTTCAAGGATGAGGACCAGTGATCCATTAAGGAGGAGGCTTGTGCTGTTCCGGACTGGTGGTCAGCTCGACATCACCACTGCCAGTCATTCCTAGGGCTGGCAATTGTGTTTCTCGGTACCAACTTCCCTCTGGGGACCCAGGTTAGAATTTGCCAATGAAAGGGACTCTTAGGAACGCTGGAAGATACAAACAAAATACAAATTGTTATTGTTCAATATGTCATGAAAATCAGAAGCGCAGGTGTCCAGTTCCAGGCCTCTGGGCCAACACCCACTTTGGGGTAGTTGAAATTGCTTGAATGTCCCCAGGATTGGCAGCTTCTTCATCCATGCCAAGGCTTCACACTGATATGACAGCGACAGTGTCCCTGACACTTTAGCTACATTCTCACAGACCTTCACTCTCCTATTTCCCATAATACCCCAGTTGCTTTCCTTAATTCTAATAGTGACTTTGTTTTATTCCTAAATCAGACTGATAAAGGTTTTCCCAAGACTTGCAAGCAATATCTATTGCTATAGCTATACTGCTCAAAAAATATACGTCAACCTAAAGGATTTTGGCAAAAGTTGTTACAAAAAAACACATTTTGAACAGGGTGTCACTAATTATTAAGATACCACAAATGTGTTCATATTCTAGCCATAGTTATCACAATAGATGGAAATACCAGTGGGGCCTGCTGGGAAAGCATCCTAACACCCCTCTCCCAATGGGAGCGTCTTCAGATCATGATCCTCTGACAACAGGTGACACAGTACAGAAATAAATACAATATAGCTGATGTGTGACAATTCTGACCCGAGAGACAGTAATGACTAATGATCTAACCTCAGGCTTTGATAATCTCTTCATGCTAACATATCATCAGTGGGACGCATACCATTTTTCCCCCTCTAGGAATGGGGGTTTCTCTTCACACCATCTATATTCTATAAACAGAGAATATTTGCGGAGGGTAAGTATGAAATGATAACTTCCTGAATCTGGATGAGAAGTCTATGTATTTTAAATCAAAGAAGTTGATTTCACTTTTGAAATGTATGTTAAGAATTGATCATGGGGCCTTCCTGGTGGCGCAGGGGGTTATGCACCACACTATGGAGCACATCCACAGTCTCTGCAGCACGAGTTCGATCCCCGACCGGCCACGGAGCAATGCACATAGCGAAGCAGACCTCCCCTGACTCACCTTCTGCTCCCCTCAGCACTGTATTTCAGTCAGTCTGCCTGTTCTGTTCCCCACTCTGTCTCTGGTGAGTCCTCTCACCCTCCACCCTGCATCTCTGGCCTGTACCCCAGCTCTTGTATGCATGGATAATCTTTTTTTTTTAAAAAAAAAATTGATCGTGGTAGAAAAATGCATACCTCAAAAACCCCAAGATCTCATCAGATACCTATGTCCTAGGGCAGGGTACCCCTACTTTGGCACCACTGAGATTTTGGCCCAAATGCTTCTTGGTGGGACCAGGGGGGAGTGGCCCTATTCCTATGCATTGTAGGATGTTCAGCAGCATTCAGCCTCTAGCCACCAGGTGGCGGTAGCAACTCCCAGTATTGAGGACCAAGAATCTCTGGTCAATGCCAAATGTCCCCTGGGGGCGATATCACTTCTGGTTGAGAACTACTCTTTGAGATAAAACAGAAATATGATGTTGGCAACAGTTTAAGGCCTCTTCACCATCAGTTTGTATTTCAACTTTCTACTTTACATTTGGTTTATTCTTCACGATTCTTTCAACATCTCAGTGAGATTGAATGGTATCAAACTGTGCAGGATGTGCCAAAGAAACTATTTTAAGTGCATTGGCTGTAAAGAATCCAAGGGGGGGCATGTTTAATTGCTTATGAGTCGCAATTCAGAGTGAGTTCATACTATATGTGGCCACTGCTATTTTTTAAAATTAGATGTCACCTTCATCACCAGGAGATATTAGATTATCAATAAAATAGACTACACAATGGAAGAGCATATAATCAACACAACATCCCTTTATTTTCAAATTCATTTATAGACTATTTCCACCTTGATTTGCAGGAGCAGAACTTACAGAAATTCAAATCAAATAAAATGACTAATACTGAACCACTATGCTTCAAAAGCAGCACAAACGTCACCTTCTTTGTGCCCTATATTCTCCCTAAACTTCCTTGTATTTTATGATGAATTTCAGACTCACCAGACAAAACATGCAGCACAAACGAACAGCAACAACAATCACTGACCCAGCAGCTCTCCAGCTGCTGGAGAGCAGCACAGTTCTCAAAGGGCCCTCGTACATAGGGCAATCCCCCCAATTTGGAGAAACCAGGCTTGTGACAGCCCAGGTGGTCCTCTCATTTCAGCTGTCTTGACAACCAATACCATTGCAACAGCAGAACAGGCTCTCAGTGATTCATCTGGAATGTATTTCAGTCTTTAAAATTCACAAAAAATATATAGTAACTTAGATAAAATATATACTCTGCTATTTTATTTCTTGGACACGTGTTTTTATAAAATCCTATGAAAATATAAAATGACACAAACATCTAGCCAATTCAAGAATTCAAGCTATATAGATGATGCAATCCCTCTCATCATCTTCTAACTGGCCATCCTGAGACCTGATCACCACTGTGTAATGGCATGATCATCCCGAAGTTGGCTCACCAAACTGGCTGAAGGGGTTGAATACCATTATCAGATCAGCAAAAACTGCCTCCTTTATATTCGAGTAAATCTATGGAAGGATGCCTCTATGGATTTGGTGACTTTCTCCGCTCAGCAATTCAATCATGGGCATATCCCTGATCCTCTTCCCCAACCTCAATGCCATGATGTTGAATTTTCTCCACTCTCACCACAAAAGCCATTTCCTATGGGATTATCTAGGCTGACAGGGCTTTAGGAGTTTGTATTGAACTAGAGCATCTTCGCCAGACTAGTCTTAGGAAGTCTCTCCACCAATGAATGAAATGATAATATTTCCGTTTTATTAATGAAAATATTAAGGACTATTCAAGATCAAAGAGGTAGCAACAACAAGATTTGCAAAAGCCTTGTGGGGTAAGGTGGAAAATATATTCCCATTTTAAGAATGAGAAAAATGAGGCTGTGATTGTTGTAAACACGGACAAAAATCACATACTAAATGGTAGGTGACGGAACTGAAGTCATACACTTACAAATTTTGGAAATGTCCCTAGTGCTATTTCTTCCATATCATACAGAATAAAAATGGAGAAGTATAGTGTCACTGCGAATAAAGATTGCTTAACTTCTCAGTGGGTTCATACAACTCGCTCATCACAAATCCATTGTTTGGATTTCCAAAGGGCAGTATCTGTGAAAGAATACATCAATTTTGTAGAAAAGGAATAACTGCATTCATGTAAGCTTAATTCCTGAGAGTTTGACAGGGTATGAAGGTCACGAGTAGACAGCTGTCAAAAACACTGGCGGATGATCACTGAATCAGTGGTGCGCACACATACACACACACACACAATTATCATTTTCCTATTCTAGGAGAGAAAGGGAAAAATCAGGCAATATTTTACTTTGTAAAGAAAATTCTGAGACCAATTTCTAAATAAACTCATTGCTGCTCACTTTAGAAGGTCTAAATATCTAAACTCCAATAAACTATTTGATATCTAATACTGCCATCCTCCATCAAAGAGGATGAAACCCACAGGTAATGTGGACATGTCTATACATACAGTGCTCCAGCTCCTGAGAAAATATATAGCACCTGTCTTCTGAGCAGGATTTCTATTTCCAGAACACAGAGATTCTTCCAATATCCAGACAACACTGTGGTTTATTTGCTTGAAGTTTAAATACACTCACTAATAATTTTCGAAAGTACTAAAAAATATGTTATCAAGGCATTTTGCTATGCTATTCATCAATGGTATATTCTGGAAATATCTGGAAAGCATTGAGTAAATTGTCAGTCTGGAACCCACAGAAAGGTTAGACTTGAGTCTTACACTTCTACCAAGCTCAGTCTCATTGAAGGTGGGTGTGAAGGGGAACCCCAACAGACTGGAAATTCAAGAATACAGGACTTGAGGAATTCCCTTTTGAGGAAACTCTTGAGAGGCATCCAGACCAAAAGTCTGTGTTGGGCATCCAGAGAAACCCTCACAGAGCAAATGTGTCAGAGGGTAGAAAAGAACAAGAAAGGGCCTCCCTGGTGGCACTGGCAGTTGAGCGCAGTGCTATGAAGCTGTCTGCAGCCTCTGCAGTGCCTGTTCGATCCCCACCAGCCGCAGAGCAACCCATAAGGCATGGCAGACCTCTCCTGTCTCGCCCACTGCTCCACTCAGCAGTGTATTTCAATCTGCCTGTTCTGTTCCCCACTCGTCTCTGGTGGATTCTTTCACCTCCCACAACCTCTGGCCTACATCCCAGTTCTTGTATGCATAAATAAATAAATCTTTAAAAAAAACAAGACAATTTCCGTGTATCCACAAGTGGCAAAGAAGAGTCAAACAAAAGGTGGCTTGTATTTGTTTTTTTTTTTTTTTTTTTTTTTTTTTTTTTGAAGTTATCTTTTTTTTTTTTTTTTAAATATTAAATTTTATTTTTATATTCCCCCATACAATTGCAAACGCCCCATTCTGACCCCAATCCTTCCCCCCCCGCCCCCCCCCCCAAAAAAGTGTCTCTGGTTCATAGTTTTTTTGTTGATTTTGATTTTCACTTTCTTATATTCATTTTCCTGGTCCCTTATTTAAGTTTCTAGATTCCTGCTATGAGTGAGACCATCCGGTATTTTTTCTTTTTCTTTTTGGCTTATTTCGCTGAGCATGATCCCTTCCAGTGCCATCCATGTTGCTGCAATTGCATGTGTTTATCTTTTTTGAATGCTGAGTAATATTCCATGGTATATATGTACCACATCTTCTTGATCCAGTCATCTATTTTTGGGCATTTGGGTTGTTTCCAAAGCTTAGCTATTGTAAACAGTGCTGCTATAAACATAGGAGTGCAGGTGCTCTTTGGAATTGATGTTTCTGTGTCCTTTGGGTAAATACCTAGGAGTGGAATTGCTGGATCATATGGAAGCTCTATGTTAGTAGGTCCAGAAATCTCCACACAGCTCTCCATAGTGGTTGGACCAGTTTGCACTCCCACCAACAGTGCACAAGAGTTCCTTTTTCTCCACATCCTCGCCAA